ACACCTAGGGACAATTTAGAGTTACCAATCAGCCTAACATGCATGTTTTTGGTCTGTGGGAGGAAACTGGAGTACACGGAGAAAACCCACACATGCACGGAGAGAACATGCAAACTCCACCCAGAAAGGTCCCTGGTCAGGATTTGAACTGGGGCGACCTGCTCGCTGAGAGGCGGCAGCTCTATCAGCTGCACCACCGTGCTGCCCCATACGTTTAATACTAATAATTTATTATGTCATCACCTTTGGTTAATGTAGCAGCACCTGCCATGTATCAGGCAGCACGACCTGCTCTGATTGGCTCTGGTTCTCTTTATTTGCTGAAAGCAGCATCAGTTTAATTCCTGCATCATTATTAAATTGGAAGGCATAAAAATACCACAACAAAGCACAGGTATTTTCCCTCTTTGATTTTTACAGATGATGGAAATCCGTCACAGCAACGGAGAATTTTAGTCCAAATCTATTTCACTTGGTTGTCCAGCGGACATCCTCGAGGCAAGGTTTGGTTGTCCGAGAAGAAAATAGGTTGTCTTGGCCAAATGGAAACCTCTTATTACCCCAGTTTACATTTACATTTAATGACTCGCTTCTGAAAGTTTCATTAATATGGGAAACATAAGAAGAAGGGAAATTTCGTTGACAAACAGGGTTGACTCCCACAGTTAGAATCAAAGTTTTAGACAAAGATATTGCATGATGAGTATGAGTTGTGAATGACTTTCAGCTACAACCACATTAGAATTGTATCACAATAACTGTAAAACTGGCTGAATTAAATTATTTTAGTGTTTTCTAAGACCATTGCACGTGGCAGCCATCTTGAATTGGACTAGCTCAAAAAAGTAATTAAATGCAGATGTGCATACAATGATAATACTAAAATTTTCATTAAAATCCATCCAGTGGTCTGTGATATTTTGGTAATAAATTGATACCAAACAGTTAATGGCAACATTTTAAACACAAGTTGAACAATTAGTGTTCAGCTTATTTGTTGAATATTAGTATCAGCAACTAGAACACCAGCTTTTAGCTGAATATTTTTAAAACTGACTGAGTTCTTGATAAATTTGTGTTTGCCAAGAAGACTGTGCTGTGGTCGCTAACTTAAATTGGGTTGATTGTAAATATCCATCCATCATCCATCCATCCATCATATTTCACTTGTTCTGAAGTCAGGTCTTGGGGCAGCATCTTGAGCAGGGAGGTCCAGACATCTCTTTCCACAGCCACCTCTTCCAGCACTTCTGGGAGGACTCCATGGTGTTCCCAGGCCAGCCGAGAGATATAGTTTCTCCACCGTGCCCTGGGACTTCCCCGGGGTCTCCTCCCAGTCGGACATGACCAAAGCACCTCCTTAGGGAGGCGCTCAGGAAGCATCCTTACCAGATGCCCGAACCACCTCAACTGGCTCCTCTCGATGTGGAGGAGCAGCGGTTCTACTCTGAGTCTCTCCTGATAACTGAACTTCTCACCCTCTCTCTAAAGGAGAGTCCATCTACCCTGCAGAGGAACACTAACCAGGGTTCATGGGGGTAGGAACGTAGACTGACCGGTAAACAGAGAGCTTTCCCTTACAGCTCAGCTCCTTCTTCACCACAATGAACCGGCACAGAGTCCACAATACTGCAGATGCTGCACCAATCTGTCTGTTAATATCACGTTCCATTCTTCTCTCACTCGTGAACAAAACCCCGAGACACTTGAACTCCTCCACTTGAGGCACAACCTCACCCTCGACCCGAAGAGAACAACCCACCCTTTTCTGACTGATTGTAAGTCTAAATCCATAATTACTTCTGAAAGTTTCTTTAAAATTTTTTAGTGATTAACAGTACACCCACCCACACACACACACACACACAGATACTGGGGGAAGCCCATTTTTGCCTGCCACAGATGTGAAGGGGATTTGGTATTGCAATATTGTTCCACAAATGACTTTTGGCAGCAGTGACAGTGTGACGCTGCTGTTGAAAGGAAACATGTTAATCAATGTCAGACTCACCTCGATGGGCTGGTGTGGGGCTGTGGACAAATTTGTCTAGAGAGAGAGAGAGAGAAAAACAAGCAGGATTAAGGTTAGATTATTTTTTGTGTCTCTCTGCAATCCCCTGCAACAAGTTGAAGCTGAACAAATTCAACCCTCTGAGCATTATCTTTACTTTTAGCTGGTCATTTACATGAAATCACAAAGAAGAAAACAATCCACTTACAGCAGCAGTTCGTTTTCTGAAACCAGGACAAATTCAAGCTCTGTTCTGCTTTCCTCTTCTATTTCAAGTTCTGCACTCAACGCAATGCCTCCAAAAGGCTTACTGGAATATTAACCCATGCACACAAGTTAGGAGTCCCAGTTAACATTCTTAACTCCAGGTGCAAGCACATCATTGAAGACTTTGAATTTATTCAAGCAGACATTGACAAACAACCACTGCAGTCCTGGTCCTCGAGAGCCACTATCCTGCAGGTTTTACATGTTTCTCTGCTCCAACACACCTGATTTAAATCACTTGGTGATTGACAGGCTGCAGAACATGAAGAGGAAGTTTAACCATTGGTGTGTTGGAGCAGAGAAACATCTGGCTCTCGAGGACCAGGATTGGACACCACCGAATTTGATTCCATTTTTTTAATGATTTAAATTCAACACAGCACAATGGTAAATGGTACTTATATAGCGCCTTTCTATCTTATCAAGATACTCAAAGCTCTTTACACTAGAATCTGTGTCTCATTTACCCATTCATACAGCACTCTACTAGATCTCTACAAAGCTAATTGAACTAAGCTAATCATTCTAAAGAGACTAATCAAAGCTTTATCACATTCATACACTGATGGGACACACATCGGAGGCAATGAGGGGTTCAGTGTCTTGCCCAGGGACACTTCGGCATGTGACTGCTGGTGGATTCGAACCCCCAACTCTTGCATTGGAGGACGACTGCTCTAACCACTCAGCCACAGCCGCCCCACTATGGTTTATACTAGTTAACTTTAGCCTGTAATCCTGAGCGATAAGTGTTTGTAAATGTTGATCTGTAGCAGACTGATGCAGAGTAGAGTTGTGTAATTACTCTGCATTTTCACCTTCATCTTGACATACAAGCTGCTTATGGATGTAAATTCTTACAGAGAGCCCATTATTTTTTATAAAATCTGGTAGCTGGTCTGTTATTTTTTTGTCTCAGATTTTCTTTTTACCATACATTTGAGATTTTTGGTCCATGAATTTATACTTTTTTTCATTTAAGTACAGAAACCATTCAGACCCATGTGTGTTGTGTGGCAACTGAAGAATTAAAAGAGTTTATACCTTCAGAGGCCTCTATGCTTTACTTTAATTTTTAGACTCAAACTAAGAGCAGCTCTGCTCCGTTTAACAAAAACCTCAAAGTCCATGAGCTCATAATCAGAATTATTTATGTTTTAAAATAAATAGAGACCTAAAAGTACCTCCAGCTCGGACCCTCTCGATCCTGCTCTGTCTGCAGCTGACCAGAGCAGAAGGTGGCCCAGTTCAGACCTGGTTGAAGATTTGTTAACTCACATTGAGTGTAAACTTCTTGAGTTCCTGGGTGGTGTTTTCTTTACTATCCCCATCACAATGCATTTGTACCAGAGACGTTCACATGATGGAAGAGAACAGGGCAGAGATGTTTCAAGGAAGGCTGACTTGTTCAAACATGACAATCCAAAAAACAAAAAAAAACAAAACCATTTTGGAGTAACACAAACAAGCCTGACAGAACTTAAATCTGATGCATCCCATTTAGCCTGCGAGAGGACAAACATGCGCAGCTGACAAACCGTGGAGGACTTGAAGAAGAGCAGAAAAGCGCGTGAACTTTCCCAGACCTCCTCTCCGGCTCGGAAAAACAGTTCTGCTTATGCTTTAATGTTTACAACTTGTGACTCATACAAATTGCAAATAGAAGCCACAAATGGCATGTAAACACGAGACGCTGCATTCTCAAGTGAAAACATCTGCAATTTGCAAACAACATCTGGCGCGCTGAGCGCAGCGCAGCCCCTGCAGCATCTCTGCGTAAAGCCGGGATTGATTTATGCGGCAGCTTCTGCAGAGACAAGATCTCAAACAAAAACTGACTCGTGTCGGTGGAAAGTGTCACCAAAGGCTCGTGCGCTCGTGCTGCGACAGGAGACGCGTGAGAAGCCTTCAAAGAGCGCACGAAGCCGCAGAAGAGACTTTCACGCCTCTCCTCTTCCTCCACATGAGCACGCTGCCTGCCCTCAGAGCGAAGGAGTTATAAAGTTTAAAGGAGGAACTTATCTGACATTTTACGACGGTGTAAAATTGCGCAAAGACTTGTCGGACTTTCTGAACTCGCGCGCAGCTCGAAAGCGTTGCCAGATTGTTTTGTAGGAGGGCTGAATGTTTACACACACAAACCGAGATTAAATCAAACTTCCTGCAGGTGAACTGCTGCGCAGAGACAGAAACTAGAACCGGGGCTCAAGCTTTGCCTACCTCTTGGAGATAACCCGTCAGATGCAAAAAGATCGCCATGCTGGAGGCCACTTGAAGCAATCCCATAACAGCGAGGGTCCCGATTAGCAGCGACCGGTATGTGGGCTCCGAAACCTGCGCCGGTGGGTTGAAGCGGTGCTGGCCCGCCTCCATGTCCACGGTGTTCCGCAGGTAGGCTCTGTATTCATGCGTAGCTGACATGGCGCGCGCTAGTCAGTCTGTAAGTCGAGCCGCTCCGCCCCGGGGCCAAGTCCCAGATTCAATGCATCGAAGGAAACAGTCGCGGAGTCTCTGCTCGGCGGTGGGCGGGCTGAAGGAAAGCTCAGCCAATCACAGGCGAGCCTGCGGATCACTACTAAAGCCGCCAATCAGATCGATGCGATCGCGCAGCAGGTGAAGTTCTTTACGACCTCAGGAACCCTTTGAAGAAACCGCGGCCACCCCCTCCCACCCCATCGTGACAATCTGTGACTTGAGGTAGCAAGGAAGCTTTGAATGGATTAAATACAAAGACTGTAAACACACACTCAAAACGGAATAAAACTCAGCTACAAGAAATTTCCCAAAAATGATTAAAAAAAAGGAAAACTTAAGAAACATTTTTACATTACTGAATATCAAATGATGAATATCTGAGTCCATCGCATTTGAAAGTCACAAAATGATGTTTGACACATGATGACTGAAAAGCAAGTAAATCAGCGAATAAATAAAAACGCATCCTTATAAACTAACAACTATGAAATAAAGTAATAAATAAAAGGCACTCAGAATTTTTAAAAACACTTTATATCACTAATTATAGAAACCCATTTTTGCCATGATGCTAAGTCATGGTCTTAACATAGTCATAATAATGCGATGCTAAGTGATAATTTTGAGATGCTATCTCATATAATATATACCGTTAGGCCTGTCACAATAACATATTTTGCTGGGCGATTAATTGTCTCAGAAATTATTGTGCTAAACGATAATATTGTTTGAAATTGGACAATAATTAGTACTTATTGTCAAATTTAAGAAGAAATGTTGTTAATTTGTTTTGAGTGTAGTACCTTTTTTACCACAGGATGGCAGTATAAGCCTGTTTGAACCGGGAGGAGCAGCGTGTCTCTTTAAGAAAAATGGGAGAGAGACCTCTAGAAGTGACACGGGCTGTCTTTCTTTCCTGTTTTTCGGTTCTCAAAATGGCGGACGCTCAGTTTGGTTTGAGCTCTTTAGCATAGCATTTTTCACACAAAGCTTTTAATAAAAAATCAGTAAACATGTTCTCAGCTTCTTTTTGCAGAGAAAAACAACTTTTTACAGGAAGGTACGGGTTTCAACTGTGAATTTTGGAGCTTTGACAAGACGGAGTTTTTTTCCCGATGTCGGCCTGTTATCTTAGCTCGTAACTTAGCTTCTCAGTTTAGCTGCTGAGGCAGTGGCAGAATTAGGCCTCCACAATGGGACAATTTTGTCAAGCAAATTCTTTCTGAAGAACTTTTATTTGCAAAATCTAACAGGTTTTGCCTTACATCAAATTTACATTATTTATTTTATATTCAGTTTATTATATTATATGTGTATACTCAATGTCTGTGAAATTTCTTGTTTTTATTGTTGAAAGTGCCTTAATTTGTTCTGTGTGTATGTCTTTAAGACAGAAAGCAGTCTGACTGTCGAGTTATCTAACTGGTTCATGTGACATCCTGAGTAGCCAACAAGGTTCACGTTTTAGACTTTCTTACATAGCTAATGGTGCTGAAACTGTCCATGCTTTGTCTGTAATGTTGGTTGAGGAATCCTAGCCATGAGTTCATGAAAACTATGTAATTGTATTGTATGTATTTGGTTATGTTGAATTATATTATTACTAATGGCTAAGCTATGAGTGAATTGTGGTCTTTGAATACCCTCTTGCAACCTCATGAAGCATATTTCTCATTATTTCGGAGAGTTATTCTGCATTTCGTTTGAATTTGTTATTTTTTGTTTGTAGACCACACCCATGTACTCAGCATAACCAACAAATGAAGAGCTAAAGACTTAAAGAAGCTATGAGTGTTAAATCATCTCTAACCGGATGTCCGTGGCGGCTATAAATTACAGCAAACCCCTTTTTTAAATAACCTTCACAACAACTTAATGGTCCTTTCAGACAGATTATTGTTGCCACATAAAGATGTCTTGGACTATCCCTAAACCAGTGATGAAGTATGATGATCAGATTACAAGACTGAGGCCTCACACATCAGCCATCCTTGTTGGAAGATTTTTTGTGGCATCTACAGCACAGCAGAGGATAGCACTTCAAAGTAGAAGTCTCCTGACTTCTACTAAAGTAGAAGTCAGAAAGTTGTTGGTTACCGGGAATCAATGTTCCATCTAAGATACGTGCCTGCGGAATCGCGCACTGCTTGCACATTCTCTGTGCACAAGAAAATCTACGCTACGCAGATGCGAACTGGCCACAAGGTTATCTCCCATTTTACAATAAACTGTCAGTCCAAGTGCAGCGGTCTGTACAGTTCAGCCGCCTGATGCATATAGAGTGGCGGACGGAACCCCCCCTCCAGTCAATACAGACCTGTGTCACGTGATTTGTGTATCCAGCCAGTCAGCGTCTTCTGGAGTTTCACCGCTGACATGCGAACTAAGTTCAAAGAAGCTACGTAGCTACAAGCAACCTTGACTTCTTGCGCTTTTCCATGCTTTGTTACTGCATATTTCATCATATACCAAGGAATAATATTTGGTGTTGTGGATTTAGTCTTAGTGAGCTTCACTACCTCCACATTACAGCTTTCTTCCTTTGTTTGTTTGTTCAAGATTATCTTACTCTGGGTTACATTTCCTCGTGGGTGGACTGATCTTACCGTTCATGTAAAATATTTGATAATGTTCTTATAGAAACAATTCCTGAATGTTGTTCATACTGTGTTAATGCTACATTTGTCTCTTGACCCTACAACTGGGTAATGTTACAGTAGACCTAGCCCATTACTGAAGTTTTAATTAGGTATTTTAAGCTACTAATAAACATGATGGATGATGATCATATTGCTTAATACTAGGCCATTAGTAAGAAGGAGTGATTATTATTATTGTTTCATATTGGCTAGTGATTTTTTCCCCTAAAAATTAGCTTATGCTACACTGTGTTTCTTAGACTGTGACTAGGATGTGTGAGAGAAGCGGCGGATGCTCTATTCACACAAGGAGAGCTGTTGGTCAGGCTACATCTTGTTGTGCCATTAACTCTAATTAACTCTAAAATAGATAATGAATCAAGTGTTACTTGTGTAGGTAAAACTAGATGTTAAACCACCTATTAAAATACACCAGAATGCAGGAAATGGCATCGACTTTATTAAAAATTTCCTGGGGGAGGACCCCAGACCCCCCCCACCACCACCACCACCACCATTGTGTCCTCCCCACATTACAAATATGCTTCTGACACCAATGTGTTGACACCGTATTGCTAACCATCTTCCAGAGCAGGACCCTCACCCAAGCCACAACTGGACTCTCACTCAGACCAAAGCAGGACCCTCACATTTAACATACTACTCATCACATGAACAACAAGATTATTCTCTTTTTCGTTTTGAGTGGGCCAAATCACTTATATTAAAAGTAAACTAATGGAAATTGCTGCTGTAATTTAATTCTTTTAATAAGCCATGTAACTTGCTATGATCCCACATTTAGAACAAGTGTGATACTGGTGTGTGGTCACAGCGTGCGCATCTGACGTTGCTCACAGTGGTCCTCAGTGCGCTCAGGGTGCTTGGGTGTTTGCCCAGACACATGAAAAATTAGAGGGAACATTGCCGGGAATGCAACAAAAAGGCGCAATTCACTGGAACAGACCATAAAATTATGAGGTACCTACCAGCATGACACCCCTCCTAATTCTTCACTGTGAAGGTAACACAATGACAGCTGCTTACTGACTGCTCCATTTGATGCCGCAGAGATGCCAGACTCCCCTCAGGCATACTACTCTGAGCAGATGTTATATTTCACATCAAAGGGCATCATTCATTTATTCATCCTTTATTTATACAGGCTAGTCTCATTGAGACACGAGGACTCATTTACAAAATGAACCTGTTCCAGACAGAACATATAAAGTACAGACAACAATAACAATAAACAATGACAAGAATAAACTACAGTAATAATGCAGTTAAAATGAGAGTAGAGTATAAAACAATAAATCAGTGTGCAGTAAAAAAGGGTAAAATACTAAAAACAATAAATATTTGCTTTGATTTTTCTATTGACATTATCAAATGTTTAAAACCCCTTCAATAAATCAAGGTGGACAACTTGAGTTCCTGTTGCAAGGTGTTCCAGGTTGCAGGAGCAGAGTAGGAAAAGGCCTTTTTTGCCATATTCAGTCCACACTGAGGGAACGCTGCAGGTAATGATGGCCTGAGAGCGCATGTTGTAACTGCACTGATGGTGTGACATGTGGGAGGAGATATAAGAAGGTAGCAGACCAATGAGGGATTTATAGAGGAAAATGAACCAGTGTGAAAGCCTACGTGTAGACAATGATGACCATCTGACTAAGGAGTACAGAGTGCAGTGATGGGTATAATCGTTACAACCAGTTATGAATCTTAGTGCACTATGGTAGACAGCATCCAACATCTGCAAGGAGCTGGCAGGGGCATTCATGTAAATAATGTCACCATAGTCAATGGCCGGTAGGAAAGTAGCGGTTACAAGGCGCTTTCTGACATTCAGAGTTAAGCAAGATCTATTTCTGAAAAAGAAACCCAGTTTAATTTCAGTTTCTTTATCAAGTTTTCAATATGTGGTTTAAAAAAGAGATGTGCTTCAACCAAAATTCCCAAGTATTTTTAAGAATCTACAAACTCAAAAGGAACACCATGCATGGATGAGACAGGAGGAAGAGTTGCTGGCACTGACTTTCAGTTGGAAAATAACATCCTTTGGTTTTGTCAGCATTTAGCACCAGCTTGAGATGGAATAAGTCTGACTGAATGATGTCAAATGTAGACTGTATAAGCTGGAAAACCTTGGCAACTGTGTTAGCTCAGCAATAAACAACAATGTCGTCAACATAGACATGCAAGGATGTGTCAAGAATCCAAGAAAGTTCAATCTGGTCCTCTGGACATTCAAAAAAACAAAAAACAAAACAAAGTAAAAAATAAAAAAAATAAAAAAATGTAGAAACGTTTCGTCTCTCATCCAAGAGACTTCCTCAGTCTGAGCTGCTGTTTTCAGCTCAGTC